ATTTGACCTATCTATATGCACCTGTGACTTCCTTATACCTTCTTCACAACATATGTGATTCACTTTATTTATTCCAAGAAAAGAATAAGGCCCCTTAAAGGTCAGCAAGGCCACCTATGTGTGGACTGTCGGACATGGAGGAGATACTAAATGACTATTTTGCATCAATGTTTAATATGGAGGAGGATATGGAGAATAGAGAATGTGTGGAAATAAATAGTGACATCTTGAAAAATGTCCATAATGCAGGGGAGGAGGTACTGGACATCTTAAAATGCATAAAGCCAAATTAATCCCTGGGACCTTATCACGTGAATCCTAAAACTCTGTGGGAAGCTAGGGAAGTGATTACTGGACCCCTTGCTGAGATATTTTTATCATTAATAGTCACAGGCGAGGTGCTGGAAGACTGCAGGTTAGTTAAAATAGTGCCACTATTTAAGAAAGATGGAAAGGAAAAGCCAGAGAACAATAGACCAGTGAGCCTGACATTGGTGGTGGACACGTTGTTGGGGGGATTCCTGAGGGATAGAATTTACATGTATTTGAGAAGGCAAGGACTGATTAAGAATAGTCAACATGGCATTGTGCATGGGAAATCATGTCTCACGAACTTGACTGAGTTGTTTGAAGAAGTACCGAAGAAGATCGATGAGGGCAGAGCAGTGGACTTCAGTAAGGCTTTTGACAAGGTTACTCACTGACTCAAAGGTAGAATACAGAGGGTGGTAGTGGAGGGTTACTTTTCAGACTGGAGGCCTGTGACCAAAGGTATGGCACAAGGACCAGTGCTAGGTCCACTGCTTTTTGCCATTTATATAAATGATTGGGATGTGAACACAGGAGGTATGGTTAGTAAATTTGCAGATGACACCTAAACTGGAGGTGTAATGGACAGTGGAGAAGGTTACCTCAGAGTACAACAGGATCTTGATCAGATCGGCCAATGGGCTGAAGAGTGTCTGATGGAATTTAATTTTGATAAATATGAGGTGCTGCATTTCGGAAAGACAAATTAGGGCAGGATTTATACACTTAATGGTAATGTCCTGGCGAGTGTTGCTGAACAAAGAGAACTTGGAGCACATAGTCATTGAAGGTGGAGTCACAGGTAGATAGGATAGTGAAGGTGGTGTTGGTATGCTTGCCTTTATTGGTCAGTGCATTGAGTATAGGAGTTGGGAGGTTATGCTGCAGTTGTGTAGGACATTGCTTAGGCCACGTTTGGAATACTGCATTCAATTCTGGGCTCCCTCCTATAGGTTATGGTATGAAACTTGAAAGGGTTCAGAAAAGATTTACAAGGATGTTGCCAGGGTTTGAGCTGTAGGGAGAGGCTGAATGGGCTGGGACTATTTTCCCTGGAATGTTGGTGACTGAGGGGAGACCTTATAGAGGTTTATAAAATTATGAGGGGCATGGATTGGGTGAATATGCAAGGTCTTTTCTCTGTGGTGGGCGGTGTCCAAAACTAGAGGGCGTAGGTTTAAGGTGAGAGGGGAAAGATTTAAAAGGGACCTAAGGAGCAACTTTTTCACACAGAGGGTGGTGTGTTTATGGGATGAGTTGCCAGAGGAAGTGGTGGAGGCTGGTACAATTACAACATTTAAAATGCACCTGGATAAGTATATGAATAGCAAAGGTTTAGAGGGATATGGGTCAAATGCTGGCAAAAGGGACTAGATTAATTTAGGATATCTAGTCTTAATGGACGAGTTGGACTGAAGAGACTGTTTCCATGCTGTACCGCTCTATGACTCTATAACCAAAACTCAAAGTACTTATTTTCTCATTGGGCTAGCAAAATACTGCTGAGGAAAATTCTCCTGACACACGCTCACACACTAGAAATTATTGTTCCCTTCATACGTTATGCTAGTATCCTAGTCTATATTCGAATCAGTAAAATCCTCCACTATAACTAAGCTATAATTTTTGCACTCTGTAACTTCCTTGCAGACATATTTCCCACTCCTATATTTTCAAAGCAGAAATCTTTAAGATATTTAGTTGCTCAATAATTTACCTATTGATCCAAATAATTTTCAATGCCTCACCTGACTACTTTTAGACCCTTATCATTTTTTAAAGGCATTTCACTTATTTATATAGGTGATGTTTGCTTCCTTGTAATTGGAGTCAACAGGCAAATAAATATTATGACTACATAAGCAAGTCAGAGGCTGGGAATTTAACAATAAGTGAGCCACCTGCTGATTCCTCAAAGCTTGTTCATCATCTAGAAGTCAAGAGTTGAAAGAATGCTCTTCACTTGCCTGCATGAGTGCAACTCCAATGATACTCAAGAAAATCAACTCCATCCAGGACAAAATAAGCCATTTGATTCACACTCTATCCACTACCATAAATACTCGCTTCCTCTACCAGCTGCCGACATGGCAGCAATGTGCATCATGTACGAGATTGTTGGGAATTGGGGTCCCCTTTAAAACTGTGTCCCTTTACTATTCCATATTTAATATTTCCTGAGTAGCATGTGACTTCATTTAAATGTGTTACAGTCGTAACTAGTCTTGTAAACTTTTATGTTGCACCTGTAGTGTCCCTATCTCTGGAGGAGGAGGCCCAGGTTCAAGTCCCATCTGCCTGAATAGGTTGATTAAAATAGCTGGTAGCCAGCCTTCTATAAATGTAAATAAAAGATTTATTGGATGTCACATTACCTCATTAAGAATGCGGTGTTTTGGAAAACAGGAAGTTCTTGCTCTTAAAAAGAACAAAACGTAACCTTTATATGGAAATGGGCGAGGGGATAACAGTGATCTGACCTCAAGTGTAAATGTCCCCATGGTAACTGGCCAAATGGATTCAGACAATTGATTATCATTGTGTAAACTATCACCCCCTAGAAACAGGGTATGTCAACAAGTGCTCAGGAGCAGAGAATGGTCCTCATCAGGTGGCCCTTATAGGTGGCAATCCTCAAAGGGATCTATCTTCTCTAGATGGAAGATGGATTTGAGGAGGAGGATTAAGACACAGGGAAGAGTTTCCCAACACCTTTAAGTTGTTGCTTTCACAACTTTAGTGAGACCAATACATTCCACACCAAAAGCCTGTGTGTCATCTGACATCAATGCACCATTCCCAATTATCACAGTTGCAAGATTTCTTTGTCCAGTTAACTAATGTATCATATCTAAACTTCTGCTTCTTGTCAAACTCAACAAGCTAGCTAAAAGTTGCTTACACAGGTCCATTGGTAACTACAATCACGAACTGTCATTGCACTGCAACAAATGATCACAGATTTGATCGCACCTTCCAAAATCATGACCTCCACCATCAGAAGCACAAGGGCAGCGAATGAATGGAAATACTATCACCCTCAAGATTTCCTTCAAGCCAAACAATATTATGAATTTGAACTATGGTTTGATTTTTGATTTAAAATTGGGTGGGATGAAGTTGGCACAGTGCCTTGCACCGATTAACCTCCTTTCTGATTTTTCCCATAATGGAAGAAGTATTCACGGAACAACTGAAGTCTTTAAATGGTTAGTCAATGGCCATTTAAGGACCTGTGACTACCACAATTGAGATTTTACTTGGACGAGAGGGGTCAATGTCATCACCTGCTAGTTTATTGTGACCTGAGTGGCAGCCTCTCCTATTTGGACATCCATTGTCCAAAGGAGACTCCTTGCATGTGATCTCCTCCAGCCCTAAAATAGCTAGCTCTCACTCTCTCACTGTGATGGGGCAGGTTGGCAAGTCCAGTCAAACTAGAAAGCAGTGGCGTCATAATAGTGTCACTGGGATAGTAATCCCGAATCCCAGGCTAATATTCTGGGCATAGGGGTTGGAATCCTGCTGTGACAGACAGTGAAATTTGAATTCAATAAAAAAAATCTGGAATTAAAAATGCTAGTATAATGTCAATCACTGTCAATTGTCATTGAAAACCCATCTGGTTCACTAATGTCTTTTAGGGAATGAAATCTGTCATCCTTACCTGGTCTGGGCTACTTGTGATTCCAAATCCACTACAATGATGTTGACTCTTAATTGTCCTCTGAAATGGCCCTAACAAACCTCACAAATCAAGGGGCAGTTGGGATAAGCAATAAATAATGTTCTAGTCAGCAATGCCTCCACATCCTGTGACTGAATAAAAAAAACCTGGCCTTAGCTTTAAGAAAAGACCTGGGCCTACCTTAAGACAAACCATAGAACTACATCCACATCTAATTATGGGTCGAGGGCATTTCTTCTTCAGGGAAGATCTGTAGTTCCAGCATTGACTACCACTGCCTGTGACATTGCTCGGATTTGACAACTACTTGCTAATCAAATGGCCAGCAGCTCTCATACCTGGTGGACAAGGTCATATAGGACAAGAGATGGGAGTTCCTTTCTAGATGAGGATAGAAGTCTACCATTGAGCCAATTAACTGCCTACAGGCCATCAATTTGTTGCATGGTGACCCAGTCAAACAGAGGTAGGCTCATATCCATTCTCTAAGAATAAGGTAGTGGAATGGTTGAAGTCATGACTTCACTGAAAATTCAGCTTACATTTCCATTCCCTCATTGTTACAAGATCAAAATCAGGAGCTTCTTTCCTTCTCAGCACTACAGGTGTGCCTATGCCCATGGACTGCAGCGGTTCAAGAAGCTGGTGAGCCATTATCTTCTCAAGGGCAATCTGGGATGTACAATACATGCTGACCTTAATAGCAATGCTCACATCCCATGAAAGAATAATAGTTTTCAAGCTGATTCACATTTTTCAAACATTTAAAAAAAAACACTTGTTTGAGGACTATTAAAACTCCAGTTGGACTTTCTGCAATGGGAGCCACTTTACCTGACATCTGTGACCTTCATTCCCTTCTTTGCCTTACTCTGCACTATAAAGTTATTTGCTTATGTTCTATTTGACAGCTAAAACATTATTTTATCTTAACTATTTTCAGATGTTGATGAACATATTGTGTGTTTTCAATTTTAAACTTGGGTTGATCTGTTCGACTCACCTTAGCGTGTCCTGCCCTTGTTATCGAAAGCATATCAAACACCTGCCCAGTGTAATATTGTACTCCACTGAAGAGAATCACAGCAATACTGTCACCGTCTTTTTCTATTGTAGATAAAATATTTTCTGTTCTCAGGGTTTCTTCTCCCTAAAAACAAACAGTTGATTGTGCTTTTTGATGCTAAAGTTAAATAACAAAATTATAATTCATACAGTCAGCAAAAAATTAGAATTTTTTCAACATAATGTAGAATATGTTTCCAGGATTTCAGCACAATTCCAAAAGTGAAGGGCTTTAGAAAACTCCAAGTACTTCAGAAAGTTTAACATCTTCCACTGAGTAGTCATTCACTTCTAAAATATACCACAAACTTTCAATACATGTCTGGTATTTGTAATATACTGACAAAGACTTCCTATCAGACAAGATAAAGAATTCTAAATTGTGCTTTACTTTTCTGTAAGAAAAATCATAAAGATTATTTACCTCAGACACCTAAATAGAAAAAAAAAACAGTATAGGAGAAATACCAGTTGTAAAGAGAAACATATTAACAAGAAAACATTGGACATGATAATGCTGAATGGCAAGAATGTTAGAAAACTGTGCCATGCAAACTACATGTGAACATTGTAGCAGGTATGTCCTTCTCACTGCTTGAGTTTTAACCAAATCTCAAGTTGTGCACGGATGTTTAAGTTCAATTAACTGTTTTCCATATTGATTTTGGTTATTAGGCTACAAGGTTGCAGGTAGAAAATTATATTGATATTTGGATAGTTTTATGACTGTATTGTTGGTATTTCACTTCAGTATTTCAATGCATGAGCTGAGTCTGGGAAGGGTGCCCTTCCAGTCAGCAGTACCTTGAAGCAATCTAATATGACAACTGAGAAAAGGGACAATCAGAAGGAGGACAAGACAGGTGGAAAAAGAAAGGAAGATGCTCCAGAAAATGAGCCCAACTCAAGCTCCACTGAGAAAATGGAGTCAATGGAGGAGAAGAAAGTGGATGTACAGAGCGAGTGGCAGAGGGTGAGGAGAAACTTCAAAAGAAAAACCTTCAATCATGCAGGGCCACCAGAGGTCAGCAGCACACTGGAAAGAGGCAGCTGCACCAAGGAAATTCTTCCTCTGATGAACATGTGAGAGGATGGCCATGAACAGAAGAAGCGACAAAGCACCAAGGAGGAAAGGAGAAGAGTATCTCCCAACCAGGAAACGCTGGACATTGCAAGAGACCTGGCAAAAGCCCACCTCCTGACATTCCGAACCATGGGGTACCCAGCACTCCAGAGCTGAAGGCAAACAAGAACAGTAACGTTCCAAACAGGGAGTGGAGTGCAACAACTGAAAAAAAGCCTGATTCAGAGAACAACATGAATTTTGACCTTCCTGGCTTTGTCTTCATCTCGATGAGTCCTGATGGGAACATTGCCTCCATGAAGGAGCAGGACAGCTACCTCAGCCTGGCAACATGTCCACACCATAGTGATTCAGGATCTCACCCATTGCCAAGACAATATTTCAAACTTTCTTTGACTAATGGACGGTATGGTAATCTAAAAATCTTATGATGGGTTTTAAAATTGCCAGCATAAATGTGTATAGTGTAAAAGCTAGAAAGCAATGTGTCTCCACCTGGGCTTACCTGGACAACATCAAAGCAGACCTCCTGTTTCAGCAGGAGCGTGGAGTAATGTACCTCAGCAGCTATTGGAAATGATTGAGATTTTGGGCCCTCAGGCTTTCGATTTGACGGGGGGGTAATGTTTGCTGGTCCTCTGGCCTGGGTATTTTGCTGCGAGGAGGCAACTTCATCATCTGTCAGGTTAAGGAGGTGTTGGGCAGGCACCTCATCATAGCAAATGTCATGAACAGAAATGCTTCCCTGAGACTAATTAACGTATATGCTGCAGTGGTAAAGAGTGAGCATCTGGCCATCTTTCAGCAGCTCCCACTGCTGCTGGCAACACCTCAGCTGGTCATTCTGGTCGGTGACATCAACTGCATCATTGATACGACTGGAAAATCTGGACAGGCTGACAGCACTACCGGGCTCAGCGCCTGCGTTCTTGATGGAAATTGTTAAAGACACCAAACTGTACAACATCTTCAGCACTTCTGCAGATGGAGCGCAATATAGATACACCTGGTCATGACCAAATGGGTCGATCTGTTCCAGAATGGATTTCCTGTTTGTGTCCAAAGTGTTCTTGGTCAGATCCACCATCATCAAGCTGGTGTTCTTCTCTGATGACTGTCTCCTGGTGGCCAACTGTCACCTGTGAATCGACCAGTGAGCTGTCAAGGGAACATGGAAGTTGATTTTAGTTTTATTCACTCTTGGGAGGGGGCATCACTGGCTGGCCACGATTTTATTATTGCCTCAACCTAGTCTCCCTTGAGAAGGTGCTGGTGAGCTGCCTTCTTGAACAACTGTAGTCCATATGTTGTAGGTAGATCTACAGTGCCCTTACAGAGGCAATTCCAGGATTTTGACCCTGCAACAGTGAAGTAATGGCGATATACTTCCAAGTCAGGATGGTGAGTGGCTTGGAGAGGAATTTGCAGACGGTGGTGTTCCCATACATTTGCTGTCCTTTTCCTTCGAGATGGAAGTGGTCATGGGTTGTCTAAAAATCATTGGTGAAGTTCTGCATTGCGTCTTGTAGATCATACACTCTGCTGCAACTCAGTTTCATTGGTGGATGGAGTGTATGCTCATGATTGTAGTGCCAGTCAAGTGGGTTGCTTTGTCCTGGATGGTGTCAATGTCCTTGAACGTTGTTGGAGATGCATTCATCCAGGCAAGTGAGGAGCACTCCATCACACTCCTGGTTGTGCCTTGTAAATGGTGGACAGGATACGAGGAATCAGGAGGTGAGTTACTTGCTGCAGTATTCCTAGCTTCTGACCTGCTCCTGCAGCCACTGTGTTTATGTGGTGAGTCCAGTTGAGTTTCTGGGCAATGGTACCTTCAAAGATGTTGATAGTGAGGAATTCAGGGATAGTAACACCATTGAATGCCAAGGGTCAGTGATTAGATTATCTCTTACTGCATTTATGTGGCACAAATGTTCCTTGCCACTTTTCAGCCTGAGCCTGGAGAATGTCCAGATCTTGTTGCATTTGAACACAGACTGCTTCAGTACCTGAGGAGTTGCAAATGGTGCTAACATTGTGCAATCATCAGCGAACATACCCACTTCTGACCTCATAATGCAAGGAAGGCCATTGTTGAAGAAGCTGAAGATGGTTAGTCCTAGGATAATACCCTGGGGAAGTCCTGCAGTGATGTCCTGGAGCCGAGATAACTGACTTCCAACAACCACAAACATCCTCCTAAGTGCCTGGTATGACTCCAACCAACCAGCCATGTCTTGAGTGTCTTAAGTGGAGACTCGTGGTTAGCCTGGCATTGTCCTCTCTACTTGTGAGGAACGACACGTAGAGTGAAGTCCAGAATCACTCAACCATCCTTTTGCCGTGTTGCTGGACCTGAGCACCAATGGCTAGGACAATGACATACAGATCCATAATTATATCCAGCAGACACAAATTGTGTTGGACCTTGGTCTTCAGGGCAGCTGCCTCCTTGTTCATGGAGCTGGCCAGATGACCACATGCCAGATGTAGCATGGTGCAAACAATGCAAGTGGAGTCTTCCAACCTTCAAGTTAGTTTACCCAGTGCCTCCAACAAACTACCTGCTGCCACCGTGTCTGCTTCTGGACTTCAATGAAAACGTGAACCACTGGCATCCCTAGCTAGTTCTTGATTTGAACTATACTCCTTAGACATTGCAAAATGACCACTTGGTTGAAGCATATGCAATTTGTTTTTACATTGCTGACCCATGGTGCAAGTATAAGAATGATGTCGCACAATGCAGTGCGGCAACACGTCCACTCCCTTGACTAATCACTGCTGGCAACAAATGACAAGCTGCCTGGTTTTGTGTCTGCACTAAATAGAAGATCAAGACAGATATAAATTCTGAATAAGGTAGCAAAGCATAAAATGCAAAGCAAACCAAGACAAGATAAAGATGCTGTGGGCACCCAAACAGGCACAAAGTGTCGGAGTGCTAAGAGAGAAAGCATGGAGACCTAAGAGGCACCCTGGTCCTATCCATGAGATGGGTGCTTGTCTTTGCATGTAAAGTTGCACACTTGCATTACGTTAAAGGGTGTCCGTGTGCTCCAAAATGTAACATTGATGTGGAGAACTGAACTGTAATTGGATCAGAGTTATATCTTGATGCTGCAGTGAGGCTGGTACATGTCTGATGCTAACATCTGGGTATGGGGAGGGGGGTCCAAGTAGTCACTGCATATTGAGCCTAACTTGAGATGTTGTTGATTACTGTCCAAAAGTAGAAGCCCACAGAAGCAAACCATGAGCTGAATTCTCTGGGTGTCCTCTCTGAATGTCATGTCATCATTTATTTTCTGTCCAGTGCGTGGAAGAATAAGAATCTGGACATCAACAAGGTGAGATTAGGTAGTGATGGCATGTTAATGAACGCAAATGAAAGCAAATGGACCTCTTGCCTCTTATTAGTTAGATTCTCATCTCACCATTCAATATTTAATGGCAGATTTATTTCTCTTGACGTTGAGAATGGCATTTCTCTGATTTTACCATATTTTCCCATCATTTCCCATGTCAGTCAGGAGCTAAAGACTCCAACCATTGTGTTGTCAATGTATAAATCTTAGCCATGGCACAAAGAAAATCAGCTCTTTTTGAAAGATCACCAGGAAATCTTTCACATACACCCAAAGTGGTTATTGGAGCTTTGGCTTAGCATTGCCTCTGAGAGTAAATACAGTAACACTGCTGTTCTTTCTCTGTACTTGTTCAGTACCTCACAGAAGGATACTATCTTACAAAACAAAAAAACTGCTTTCTATCTTTATTTTCTGTTAGGATAACCCAATAAAGTTGTTGCTTTTAATATAAAAGTAATGCATGGTACTCTGAAAGTTTCTTTATCGGAACATTATCACATCAGCATCAACACACTTTCGATCTTCTGGAAATTGTGTCATGCCATGTATAACACTGGAGAGACAGACAACATTCAAATTAATTTTTACATGTTAGGACAAGCATAGGAACAAGATTAGGCCATTCAGCCT